CATTGCAGAGCATCGTTCTGATGTTGCCTGGTGAAGAGCTTGTTGTGTTGTGAGGCTTTTTTTTTTTTTTTGGTGCCAGTTCAGTAGATCTCTTAGCTAAGTATCATCTGACTCTGATTCTCAGTTCTCATTAGTTGTCTGTATTTGTGTTTTATTTCCTTGTGGTTTGGTCTATGACAATCTCTAGATAATCTCAGTGGAGATGTTCATTCTCTCTAATTTTTCCTCAAACAAAAGTATTAACTCCCAGTTCCCCTGTCAACCCCCCCCCCATCATTTCTTTGTTTCAATTTTTATTCTTTAGCTGACATTATCTTCTTTATCCTAATTAATTGCATTGCAAAATGCTAAGTAAAAGCCTACGTGAGAGTGCTATGGTAAAAATACATGAACCGTTTTGTCCATCTTCTGTGAAATGCAAATCCATATTTATTCCTTTCATACTCTGGATTACTAATGCCTAATTTGGAAGTACCATATTTCTTAGCAGGGTGGTTTGATCAATCCTAGCAAATCTGCTTATTTAATTAAAAAAATTATCAGCGATAAGTACTTTAGCTATATATTCAGTATGGCCCCCAAAAAGTAATACAAAGCTAGTCTTTTAAACCTGATGCTCTGTTTAAGTCAAACCATTTTCTCTGTGCATATTTGCAAGCAAGGTACCTCGTGTGTGCTAATGTGATTTCCTTCCTGTGTCATCTGACCATGTAGATAAAAATAGCCCCTTCCTCTTTGTTGTCCTCTATTTAAAGTTAATTGGAATATGTTTTTTAACTTTCTTATTAAATTTATTGGGATGCCGTTTGTTAATGAAATTATATAGGTTTCAGGTGTACAATTCTATAATACGATACCTGCATATTGCATTGTGTGTTCACTACCCCAAATCAAGTCTCCTATCACCATTCATCCCCCCCATATCCTCTTCTAAGTTCCTCAACTCCAATTGGAATATGCTTTAAATAATTTCTCTAATGAATGGCCGAAAGTTTTTAGAGGGGCTTTTTGCAGAATCTTTCACATGAAGGCAGGTGATTAAAAAAACACAAATGCTTGTCTAGCTGCTGACTGTAAATCCTGAAGCATTTAGATACTTGCAGACTAAATTATTAATTCTCATTGCTTTCCTCTAAAGTCTTGGGAGAATTTTCACAACCTTTTTTTAAAATATATTTTTATTGATTTCAGAGAGGAAGGGAGAAGGAGAGATAGAAACATCAATGATGAGAGAGAATCATTGATCGGTTGCCTCCGTCCCCCCCCCCCCCCCCCCCCCGGAGATCAAGCCCGCAACCCCGGCATGTGCCCTTGCCCGGAATCAAACTCAGGCTGACACTCTATCCACTGAGCCAAACCGGCTAGAGCATCACAACCTTTTTGTAACCTTTTCTGATGGAGACCAGTGGAGTGAGACAGACCTGGTTTTAAATCTTGGCTCTGTCATTCTCTAGCTCTGTGACTTTGGATAAAATGATACATGTCTCTGCTTCTTTTTCTATAGTGAGTTGATAGTGCTGACTTTATAGGATTGTTGTGAGGAAAAAGACAAAATGTGAAAACTTTTTATATGTGCTTCTATATGCACAGTGCCTAGCACAAAGCAAACACTTAAATGTTAGCTTTTATTGTTATAGCCTGGTAGTGGCAAGCTTTTTCTGTAATGAGCCAGATAGTAAATATTTTAGGCTTTGAGGACCATGTGGTCTCTGCCACAGCTAACCAACTCTGCCTTTACAGTGTCAAAGCATCCATAGGCAGTGTGTAAACAGATGAGCGTAGCTGTGTTCCGATAAAACTATTTATAAAAATAGACATGGGCTATAGTTTGCTGACTTCTATTCTAGAGTAATAAAACTAACAAATGAAACAAGATATGAAATATTAAGAATTCAGTATAACTCTTCTGTGAAGTAGATTATCAAGAGAATTTAGACTGATTTAAAACTTCAATTTGCAACCTCAGACAGTACCTTTCAAAATCTCAGTGTTAAAACATGTTCTGCTTGGTTAACATATTTTATAATAAAAATCTCAGCTACCAGGAACCATAAAAAATAAAACATTTCTAGATTCATAACAGCACTTTTGTGGAGAACTTCCTAAAATATACTCTTTTGCCTTCTTAAAAACCATGTATAAAAAAATAATCAAACTTAAAAAAAATAATGACCTTTGCATTATATCTTCTGATTTTGGTCAGGCCTCAGTTGGTGATTTTTGTGCTCCACATGGTGCCAGTTTGGGTCACTAAGTGCTTTCACCTGGTGTGCACAGGTTGGTCTGGAAGGTCCAAGATGGCTTCACTCACATCTGGTGCCTTGGCGGGGGCAGATGGGAGCCTGGGCTCAGCTGAAACTGTCAGCTAGACCTCTTACACACGGCCTCTCAAGCATGCTAATAATTTTTTTTTAATGATATGACATGCCTAGCCGGGATGGCTCAGTGGTTGAGCGTCAGCCTATGAACCAGGAGGTCACGGTTCAGTTCCCTGTCAGGGCATATGCCCGGGTTGCGGACTCTATCCCCAGGAGGTGGCGTGCAGGAGGCAGCCGATAATGGTATGACATTATGAGTCCCAGTTCCCATAGTACCGTAGTACCCTCAGCCTTCACTGAGGTCTGTGGGGCTGCTGCTTGTACTCCCTAGACCACTGTGCAAGCAGATTCTCAGCTGTAGTCTGGAGCAATGCAATTTCTGGATTGGTGACATCTTATTGTAGTGGACACCTAATTTGCTATGTGTAAGCTGCCTTGCTAGGCACAACTAAGTGCTATTAAAGAAACTTAAAATATGCCGTATAAAAGAAGGAAATCCTGCAGTGTGTGACCAAATGGTTGAACCTGGAGGATATGGTGCTGAGTAGAAAAGCCAGTCACAGAAGGACAAATACTATATGATTCCACTTATATGAGGAATCTAAAATAGAAGCAGAGAGTAGAATGTTGATTGCCAGGGGCCAGGGAGAGGGGGAAACGGTGAGTTATTACTGTAATGGTCAAAAGTTTTAGTTATATAAGATGAATGTTCTAGAGAACTGCTATGCAACATTGTGCATATAGTTAACAATACTGTATTGTGCACTTAAAAATTATTAAAAGGGTAGCTCTGACCATGTACTCAGTGGTTAGAGCATTGGCCCACACACAGAAAGGTCTTGGGTTTGATTCCTGGTCAAGGGCCCATACCTTGGTTACAGGTTCGATCCTTGGGGGCCCTGGTTGGGGTGCCTGCAGGAGGCAACCAATTGATATGTCATTCTCACATAGATGTCTGTCTGTCTATCTGTCTCCCCCCAATACACACACATCTTCCCTCCCTTCCAGTCTCTAAAAAGCAATCGAAAAATTATCCTCAGGGTGAGGATTAACCAAAAAAAAAATTATTAAAAGGGGAGATTTCATGTTAAATGTTCTTACTTTATTTAAAAAACTAGAGGCCCGGTGCATGAAATTTGTGCACGGTGGGTGGGTCTTTCAGCCCGGCCTTCACCCTCTCCCAATCCGGGACCCCTCAGGTAGGGTCCCTAAGTCTGGCCAGCGATCAGTGCCTATCAGGGCTTTCCTTCCCCCGGCTGCCAGCAGCGGGCCCCGCTACTGCTAGCCATCTGTGCGGCGCTACCCATCCCCCCCCCCCTTGGCCACTGGTCGCTTCCCTCTGCAGGCGACAGGTGTGGGGTGCAATCGCTTGGCTGGCCTGGACCTCCTTCTGCGGGGCGATCACTGGCCGGCCCTGCACACCCGCCACAGCATCGCTGGCCCGTGGCCTGGGCCTCCCTCTGTGGGGTGATCGATCACGGGGCTCCCATATCTATCGCCCTGTAGAGGGAGGCCCGCCCACCCGCCGCAGCACCACCAGCCGGGTAGCCTAGGCCTCCACCTGTGGACACCGGCCAGGTGGTCTGGGCCTCCCTCTGCGGGGCTATCGTGGGGTAGATTATGACTTTGGAGTTAATACCATTTTTAAAAAAGGCACTAAAAAGAGAACTTAAGGTGTTTTTCTTCTGCTTATTTTACCTGCTTTTTTCTCCCTTCCCCATATTCACTTGTTTTTTGTTTTTGTTCATCCTCACTTGAGGATATTTTTTTCATTGATTTTTATTTTTTTAATATATATATTTATTGATTTCAGAGAGGAAGGGAGAGGGAGAGAGAGCTAGAAACATCAATGATGAGAGAGAATCATTGATCGGCTGCCTCCTGCACTCCCCCTACTGGGGATCGAGCCCACAACCCAGGCATGTGCCCTTGACTGGAATTGAACTCGGGACCCTTCAGTCTACAGGCCAATGCTGTATCCACTGAGCCAAACCAGCTAGGGCTCCATTGATTTTTAGAGAGAGAAACATTGGTTGATTGCCTCCCCCATGCACCCCAACCGGGACCAGGGATCGAGCCTGCAACCAAGGTTTGTGCCCTTGACTGGAATCAAACCAGCAAACCTTCAGAGCCAAACTGGCTAGAGCTCTTCCCCATATTCTTGATGAGACAGTAAATGTTGAGAGGGCAGAATAAGGGAACAGACCACGGACTGGAAAGGACCACTTCAGGGGCGACTCCAGTTGGAAGAGGGCCTACTAAGTATGACTTGAATCTATGTTTGCATAATAAGCACCCTGCTTTTGCTTAAATGATCTGTTTATTTGGAGTAACTTATGTTTGGGGAGGTTAAGGCTCTGCAAGCTGTTCTTTGTACTATATGTAGGATTAGGGGTCTTATACCTGCTCCACCAGTTCTTGCAGTCTCTGGGATGTCTTACTCATTTTGTATAGATTTTGCTATTTCTTTCCTATCACCTATTCACAGTTATGGCTCTAAGATGATTATTTTTTCACCTGAATGTCTATCATTTTTTGGTATGAACATTATAGCTCTCTCACCCTTTACTATAGATGGGGTAATAATACCTACCTCAGAGTGTTGTAGGAAGAATGTGAAGTGCTAAGAAAATGTTAGCTATTATTTTATCGGATAACCATCTTCCAAACTTCCTTTTTTAGAAACTGATTCAGCAGCACAGAAAGAACATAGAAACCAGACACCTGCTCCATCTGCAGCTCAAACTTCCGCTCCTTCCAAGTACCACCGATCTCGATCTGGGGGAGCCAGGGATGAACGATATCGATCAGGTGAGAAGGAACTGGAAGTTATCAGTGGCATAGTTTTTACTGACTTAGTAGGAACCGTGTATCCTGAGAGCTTCTAACGTTTGTTCTCTTTCCTTGAAGTACCAACAGGTCTATATTGATTCATTTATCAGTCATTTATTGAGTGCCTATTATGTGCCAGGTATTGTAGATACTCAATATTTACTGGGGATACAGCGGCAAATAACATGTTTCTGTGCTCCAGGGCAGACGGGGAGCCAGACAAGTACAAAGGCAATGCAGATAAATAACTAAGAAAGCAGAGGGCCAGAGTCACACAGGGTGGTATGTAGGGAGAGCTCAGTGGACTCTTTTGGAAGAGGCAGGTCCTTCTGCATTTGCCAAAGCTGTTAATTAACTGATGGACCTGGAACAAAAACACAATACAATTTCAAATTAGTAAACTCTTAAATTTTATTTCTTCTGACCTAAAAAGTACCCATTGGAAGGGAAAGGGGACATGCTGTGGCTGGCAGTGGGAGCATGCTCTGCCATCCCATGTCCAGGACCGATGAGCAGAGAAACACATCAGAGATCCTCATGGGGATGTGGGTGCAGCGAGCCCGTCCCATCCCCTTCTCCTTGCTGCCCGTTATAGTCTCTGCAGCACATTTATTGTGCCAGGAGACGAGCTGGAATACAAACTTACTTTCCCTAGATTTTTGACTCACTTGTGCCAGCCAAAGTTACCTTAACCTTTTTTTAAATTGAAAAACAGGGTGTTCGTTGCCTCCTCTCAGAAACTGCTTCAGAGAAAATGAGGTAAAGGATGTGGATGCAGAGCTCCGTCAGCCGTTTTGTGAGCTGATTTTATTAGAAATATATTTTCACACACTGGAAGGAAGGGTGGAGAAGTATTCAATTAAAAAAAACAGAGGCTGCATGCCACACCAGAATTTTCCTTTGTACCTAACCTGCCGTAAGCGAACAGGGGAGGCTTTCTCAGAGAACAAGGCATCTAACTGAGTCAGGGCAGAAAGACAAAAGTTGCCCAGGTAAAAGGGAAAGAGCATGAGAAATTACCTGAAAACAATTCTTTATGGCTGCAACTTAGAATGCAAGGCCCCAGAAGGAGGTGGGAGATGAGGCTAGCAAGATTACCAGGGACCAAACCTGAAGGAATCTTGAACAGCATTGAAGGATTTTCAGCAGGGCAGTACATAATCAGAGTTGTATTTGTTCTAGTTACAGGGGTGGGCAAACTTTTTGACTCCAGGGCCACAATGGGTTCTTAAACTGGACCGGAGGGCCGGAACAAAAGCATGGATGGAGTGTTTGTGTGAACTAATATAAATTCAAAGTAAACATCATTACATAAAAGGGTACGGTCTTTTTTTTTTTTTTTTTTTGTTTTATTCATTTCAAACGGGCCGGATTCGGCCCGCGGGCCGTAGTTTGCCCACGGCTGAGAGTAGCTCGTTCCAGCTGTAGACAGTATGCTCTGCCACTACTGTGTCCCAGTGCCTGGCACAGTGCCTAACATATATGAGTTAAAAGGGTAACTTAGAGAAAGGAAGGAATGAAGGTAGCTATTAGTTAAGAATGGATTTGTGGGAGGTAATGCTGGATGTAGAAGAGTATTATGTCCTAACTGGTATCTTCAGTGGTTAAGTGTCGGCCTGCACACCAAAGGATTGCAGGTTCTATCCCTGGGGCCCCAGATGGGGCAATCAATTGATGTGTCATTCTCACATGGATGTCTGTCTGTCTGTCTGTCTCCCCCTACCCCCCTTCCTTCCACTCTCCAAAAATCAGTAGAAAATACATCCTTGGGTGAGGATTAAAAAAAATAGAAAAGTATATCAGAAGTTCCTATTTGTTGCCAAGACATAAGTCTGATTTCCCAGGAACCCAGTGTTGCCTTTTGAGGCTGGGACCAGGTTCAGTAGCCGTGTCAAGAGGTTTTTAGCCTTTGCAACTCTCACCCTGGCCTTCTCTAGGAGTGTTTTGTCTTTGTTTTATTGTTTGTTTTTATAGGATATAATAAAAGGGTTAGTAAAGAACCAGAAGATGATTCTCTACATCCAATGTCCAAGCTGAGGACATATGGTAAAAGGCTTTAGTGAACTCATTCCATAGTGTAAAAATTTGACCTTCACCTAGCAAAACCCAACTGTGATCTCTAGCCCCTGTTCTTTATTTTTAATTTATTCTTTTTATTTTATTTTTTCTATCACCATTTATCTCCTCCCCCAACCCCCATTCTTTTATACCTTTTTTTTCACACTTACCCCAAATATCAAAAAGTATAGTTTGCGAATCAGATGCTGGTTAGCAGACTGTTCAGTGTCTTGCTTAGGTACAGGGATATTGAAGAGGATTTAATAGGTTTTGAATAATTGTCTCGCTGGACTTCTTTTTTTAGGGTAGATGTGAAATGTAGACCAAGAGGAGGTAAAGTAGGGAAGAAAGGGTTATTTAATTGTCTCGCTGGACTTCTTTTTTTAGGGTAGATGTGAAATGTAGACCAAGAGGAGGTAAAGTAGGGAAGAAAGGGTTATTTAAAAACCCTGAAGATATTGAAAGCTGTGAGAGGACTGCAATTGCAATGCTGTCATGAAGGGAACAGAAAAGAGAAAGTATGCAAGCATGGATTTTGGTGAAAATCACATTTTTTTTTCAATATATTAGAAATTGTTCAACTAAGTAGCAAAGGAAAGCTCAGTACATTCTGAGAATTGTGGCTTCCATGAATAATAAGAAACCAACAGTAATAGCACAAGTAGAGCAAATTAAGTTACAGAATTTGATGGGAATTCAACTTCAATTCTTTGCCACCCTTTTCATGCGAAGGGTTACATTTACAAGTCACATGCAAAAATAGCTTAAGAACATAAAATATGTGTAGTGATAATCACAGGAATACAGAGTAAAGTGATGAGTACACAAAAAGGATTTAATATTGATGTCAGTAAGTTCAACAGGAAAATTATCATATTCTTCTTCTTCTTCTTCTTCTTCTTCTTTATAAGAGAAAGTTTATTTAGAAAGTCACAGAGGTAGTAGAAGAGAGCCATAGAAGAAATGGGCTCAGGAAACAGATTATAGCAAAAGAAGGATACATACCTGAGGGACGAAAGAGGGACTGAAAAATTCTCTCTTATTTGGTGGTGGCTTTATTACGACATTTCAACCAATCATGAAATAGACAGTGTTTCATGTTTCAGACTTGGTGTAAAGAGCTTATATTTATGCAGAGTTTAGATCATCTAATCTGATTCTTCTTTCTGTGCTTAGCCAACGTCTGTGTGACATTTCAAATATACTTATTCAGTACCTCTTTTTCCTGCAAATCAAGGCATGATACACCTTTCTACACACGTTTCGGTCACAAGTGTAGAAAAATACACAATTAATGGAAAGTGATCTGATTGTCATTCTTTTCTTTTTTTATTTAATTGATTTTTATAGAGAAAGGGAGAGTGAGGAAGAGAGGGGGGGGAGAGAGAGAAAGAAACATCTATTTTGTTGTTCCACTTGTTTATATATTCACTAGAGGCCCAGCGCATGAAATTCATGCATGGGTAGGTTCCCTAGGCCTGGCCTGTGATCAGGGCCGATCAGGGCCTTCCGGCTGCCGGCCGGGGCCTTCCTTTGTTCCGCACCACCCCCTGGTGGCCAGTGCACGTCATAGCGAGTGATCGATCTCCTGGTCGAACTTCCGCAGGGACAATTTGCATATTAGACTTTTATATAGAGAGATAGTTAGTTTGGTTACTTCTTATATGTGCCCTAACTGGAGATCAAACCCACAACCTTGGGGTATCCAGAGGACGCTCTAACCAACTGAGCTATCCAGCGAGGGCCTAATTGTCATTATCTTAAGTCCTTTAATGTTAATCTTTTGGGCAGTTAGCCACCTCATACAAAACAAAAGCCAAAAGGACTTTAAAGGAGTATTAGTATCACCTTATTCAGCTCAAACATTAGCGCTGGAAAATGATACCTAGCTCTCATGTGCTTCTGGCAGAGACGTCCAAAAGGTAACTGTGTCTGGGGACTGAACTTCGGAAGTGATTTCTTTATCAAAGATCAAGATGAATTGTGTGCTGGTGAATGAGTCAAATCCAGTTAACAGGGAGCAGTCTGTTCTTATCAAAAAGAGGCTTTGCTGATACAGTAACTGTGAACATCTCCTTTTCACATGCATTTATGAGCCTGGGTTTATCATGTTAGAAAATAGTTGGGTGTTTTTATTTGTTCTATGGTCTGATGCTGTGAATCCTTGTGGCAGAGAAAGATTATTCAAGTGGGCCTTTAAAAGCTTGTTTAATGTGAATAATTCCCTAGTTTTTGCAAGTTTGCTAGCACATGTTTCATATTTTATGCAAAAATAAACTTTTGGAAAGGTATATTTAATTGTTTAGTGTGAACATTTGATTTGCTGTTGTTCTCTTATTGAGAAAGTGCTTTTTCTGAGTGTAAGCAGTTAATCATTTATTTTCCAAGACAGCTAAGAGAAACATATTTCATCTAATATAAAAAGGATGCTTTTTATATTTAAACATAACTAAAATCAGGTTGTGTTTTATATAAAATGGCATCATAGATTCAATTAAATATGCCAATCTTGATTCAACTAAGTAAACCTCAGGGACACTGAAACAGTATAATAAATATAAATACAATAGAAAATATTTCACTTCAGAGCTAAGAGTAAGTTAATATTGTGGTCTTAAAGTGATAGTGCAACAGTTTGGAAATATCTTTTACACTTTCAATCTTCATACACTTTGACCCAGAAATTTCACTTCTAGGAATTTATTTTAAACATATACATATGTGCACAAAGATAAAAATGTGTATTTATGTATGTATGTGTGTTGTAGCTTTGCTTGTAGTAATATAATGATTGAATAAATTATAGTAGTACTCATATACAATGGAATTCTATGAAAGCTGATTTTAAAATTCTGTGAAGGCTCACCAAAAAATGAGGTAGATATGGAGAGATGTACAAAATATATTATAAAGTAACAAGT